TATATATCTGATCATTTTGATCATTTTATTGCAAGAAACACTGTTAAATTATGTAAAATCCTGGCAATATTTTACAGTTAGGAGGATTAGTGTATATATATAGTAAAATTCTGATCATTTTATTGCAAGAAACACTGTTAAATTATGTAAAATCCTGGCAATATTTTACAGTGCAGATCTTTAGGAGGATTCAGCTAGTTTACACAGAAACAGGAACACTATTATATGGAATATATAATGTTTGGTCTTATCTGTTCAAGACAGAAAGAGAGTTAGAGGATGTGCCTGGAGCTGAATGTAAACCTGAATCCTCCAGTTCATGCTGCAGTGCACTTTCTCAACATAAAACCTGAGAAAACAAATGTCAGGGCAAATGCCAGGATGCTAAGGGGTGTGTAAACACCAAAAAATAATACAGATTTTTCATGGACTACTGTTCAAGACGGATATTTTTAGTACAAAGGTATTTAATGACCATCACATCATAGTCTGTAATTATAATTAACGCCACCGCTTTCTGATTTGAAGAAGAAAAAAACCGTCAACAGATGGTTTTAATCACCAGAACATTTAATTTAAAAGAATAACTTGAGAGCAGCAGAAACTTTCTAGCAGCAAATTAAAGTCTTACTAATTGACTCTATCTGGCCAATCAGTCATCTTAAAAATACTTTTTTTTTTGCATCTAATGCATTTCCACAAGTACGTTATTTAAATGAATGACACATTAACTGAGAATAGCAGGTGACACATTAGCCAAACTGTAATTTTCTCATGTTATAAGGTCTCTTATAAAAGGTCATGGTGAGATAATGAAGCAAACTGCAGAGCTCATTTACAGGAATAGTTCGCCCCAAAATAATAATCCTGTCATCATTTACTCACCCATATGTCATTTCAAACCTGTATGACTTACTTTCAACCATGGAACACAAAAAAAGTTAGCACAGTAAATAATAACAGAATTTTCATTTTTGGGTGACTGGCCCTTTAAGAAATGTAGATTATCGATATAAAGTTGAAATACCATCATGTAATTAAAACAGGTTAAACATCAGACTCAATCAGACCGTTCTCTAATTATGTTGTTCACGGCACGTTTGACTTAACTTGATAGTTGCCCATTATACCTAAACAAGTTAGGCACCATAAGTGCCTAAACGTTACTGCCTTGAAGTGTGTATAATTAGCCAAACTGTAATTTTCTCATGTTATAAGGTCTCTTATAAAAGGTCATGGTGAGATAATGAAGCAAACTGCAGAGCTCATTTACAGGAATAGTTCGCCCCAAAATAATAATCCTGTCATCATTTACTCACCCATATGTCATTTCAAACCTGTATGACTTACTTTCAACCATGGAACACAAAAAAAGTTAGCACAGTAAATAATAACAGAATTTTCATTTTTGGGTGACTGGCCCTTTAAGAAATGTAGATTATCGATATAAAGTTGAAATACCATCATGTAATTAAAACAGATTAAACATCAGACTCAATCAGACCGTTCTCTAATTATGTTGTTCACGGCACGCTTGACTTAACTTGATAGTTGCCCATTATACCTAAACAAGTTAGGCACCATAAGTGCCTAAACGTTACTGGCTTGAAGTGTGTATAGAGCGGCACACACACATTGCACTGTTGCGATAGCAACAGTTTTATAAAGTCATCAGTAAGATGACTCACACAAGCATGCTAAAGTACTACAGAGTGAAGAAATGCCTTCAGGGATTACAAGACAAAAACCAAGAGACTCTCGACTCTCAACAACTCTTAGAAAGTAAAACATCGTAAGAGAAAGAAATGTGAGGGGATTTGAATTTTTTTCACTCTTAGGCCTAAAACATACTTTATGCAAGTATGAATGTAAATACATCAAACTACACAAGCTATATTTAATTTATCATGTTTTGAAATGGGTTCAAATTCAATACACATCTCAGTGCAATTATGTGTTGCATTCTCAGTACTGCCACAAGGTGCGCTATAGCTTACACTCAATGTTCAGATAGATAGATAGATAGATCACCACATTGTTTCATTTCTGAATTAATTCACATTTTTTGATTGATTGATTGATTGATTGATTGATTGATTTCAAAGTTGTAAATAAAACAGATTATTGTAGCATGTTTTTAAAAAATAGTATTTGAGTCTAATACTTTAATTTCCACATTTAATTCAGTTTCACACCTAATTGTGTTTCTTTTTTCCCTTTTTCTAATTTAAATATTTTATACAAATCGTCTTTACATTAATAGTCATTTTGTAGGTTTTTCCTCTGTCCTCAGTTTCACTTTCTATCCTCTTTTGTAAAATCCCTACAACAAAAGCCACCATTAATGACATCATCCTTCAGAAAGTGACATCATGTTTGGTTGTTTAGTTGGCTTGTCTCATGTTAAATCATTCTGTTTTGATAAAAAAAAAAATACAGAAACTAGTATGATCGTGTGTGTGTGTGTGTGTGTGCTGTACCTTCTTGGTGAGCTCACTGGCCTCGTTTATGTAGCGATCCCTCTCTTTCTCCAGCTGGTAGATGATCTTTCGCTGTTTCTGGGCTTCGTCCCTGTAGTTTAAAATCTCCTGTTCCAGAGTCTTCTTTGACTGTTCGTGTAGCTTAACAATGGTCTGCTGTTTGTCTGTTTCATTGGCCGCCTTGATCATATTCTGGAAGAAACATGCACACGCCGACACAAAGAGGTTACGCAAAAGATCAATCTGTAAATATACTTAGCAAGAGTGACTCAAGATTTTCAGAAAACAGACGTAAAAAACCGAGCTTGAGAATAGGATGTTTATTCTGTGCTGTATTGCTGTTCAATAGATCAAAGGAATGATTCTCCAAGGTAAGCTGATATCAAAAGCCGTGTTTGTATGCCACAGTGTGTGTGTGTGTGTGTGTGTGTGTGTGTGTTTGTGAGACAGAGTGTCTCCTGTGCAATTAAATATGAATATCCTGTTATTTTCATACGCGCAATAGCAATGCAATATTCAGCATGTCAGCAGAAACATCATGCACCTTCTCTTGTTTTCTGAAATCCATCTGTGCATCATAACAGTGTGGGGAAGCTATGAGAACTGTGAAAATGCAGAACCTCTGCAGAAAATTAGCCCTAAGGATAAAAATATAAACCATAAAGACTCGCCGAAAAGCTTACCTGGTATTAATATTAGTTTCAAGAGATCCAAAGCACGTCCAAAACATTTAAGATCAGATCACTCAAACTAGCAGAGCTAAAACAAAGATTTAAAGGGATAGTTCACCCAAAAATGAAAATTCTGTCATTTATTACTCACCCTTATCTATAGACAGCAAGGGTCCTACCATGATCAAGGCACAGAAACGTAGCAAGGACATCTTTAAAATAGTCCATGTGACATCAGTGGTTTAACCGTAATTTTATGAAGCTACGGAATACTTTTTGTGCGCAAAAAAAACAAAAATAATGACTTTATTCAACAATTCTTCTCCTCCGTGTTACCTATAGCGCCATTTTGGAGAATATCACGACGTATGCACCTGCTTTTCCTGCATGTAAACAATGCAAGTGCATGGTGCTGTTGATGTAGAACAGGCATACACTATGCCTTGTTTACGTGCAGAGGATAGCATGCGCATGCATTGTGATATTCTCCAAAATAGCGCAATAGGTTTGCGTACAAAAAGTATTCTCGTAGCTTCGTAAAATTATGGTTGAACCATTGATGTCACATGGACTATTTTACTGATGTCCTTACTACGTTTCTGTGCGTTGATCGTGGTAGTTCCCTTGCTGTCTATGGAGGGTCAGAGAGCTCTCGGATTTCATCAAAAATATCTTAATTTGTGTTCTGAAGATGAACAAAGGTCTTACTGGTTTGGAACGACGTGAGGGTGAACTATCCTTTTATAAGGGGGCTTTTCTATGTGAGTGATTCATTTGATTAATTATTTAATACATTGTCTAATTAATCAAATAATAATCCTAAATAAAAAAATAAAGGTTTTAGGGGCTTTTTGGTGTGTGATTCATTTGATTAATTAATTGATATATTATTTAATTATTAAATAATAATCTAAATAAATAAATAAAGGTTTTAGGGGCTTTTTATATGCATGATTTATTTGATTAATTGATATATTGTTTATTTAATTAAATAATAATCTAAATAAATAAAGGTTTTAGGGCTTTTTATGTGTGTGATTCATTAAATTTTTTGATATACCGTTTAAATAATTAAACAAAACAATAATCTAAATAAATAAATAAAGATTTTAAGGGCTTTTTAATGTCTGTGATCCATTTGATTAATTGTTTGATATATTATTTAATTAATAAAACAAACACATACATATTTTTTACATTTTAGGGGCTTTTAATGTGTGATGTGTAATGTGTGTGTGTATGATTTATTTGATGAATTATTTGATATTTTTCATTAAACACAAATAATAATGTAAATATATAAAGGTTTTAGGGGCTTTTTATGTGTGTGATTAAGTGATGAATTATTTGATATATAATTTATTTAATAAATAGTCCAAATAAATAAGTAAATCTAGAATAATAACAAATAATAATCAAAATAAACAAAATTGTATTAATAAAAGTTATTAATAAAATGACATACAGTTTGTACAGTATAAAAACCATTACGCCTATGGAATGTCCCCATAAAACATGGAAACACACAACATGTGTGTGTGTGTGTGTGTGTGTGTGTGCGCCTACTTAACCATATTTTGGGGACAAATTGAGCTAAACCTGACAAAATCTCCAAAAACCTTCCTTTGGGGATGTCCTCATTTGTAAAACTGGTATAAAAATAAAGTAAACAAAGTTTTTTTTTAATTGTGAAAATGCATAAAGTTTCCTGTAATGGGTAGGTTTAGGTGTAGGGCAATAGCACATACAGTTTGTACAGTATAAAAACCATTACGCCTATGGAATGTCCCCATTTAGATAGCTAAGTAAACGTGTGTATGTGTGTGTGTGTGTTTTCTTTAAGGTGGGTTTATTAAATTTTTGTACATTTTATCAGAAGTCGTTTTCAAGACATTCTGTAAGGAAAAACATTAGAAGTTAGAAACACGTGTCCACACACACACCTTATTCAGGATGTCCCTCTCCCGCACCAGTTCATCTATAGCCTTCTTGTCCATATCCATCTGCTTTTTTGCAGTCTCCATTTCTAAGAAAAACAGAAAATTAAGCTCTTATTATTTATTTTTTAGTTATTCTTCCAAAGCCAGCGGGATATAGTGCTAATTGTTACTTTTCTTTTTGAAAGGCTTTCCGCTAATAGGGTTGTTTTCAGAAGCACTTTCCACAGTCTGTGAAGGACCAACGTAAAATAATTACACAATTCAAAAAGCCCATTATACGGCTGTAGGCATAAGAAGGTAGAAAAGAGAACTGGGACACAGAAAGACTAAAAGAAAGAGCGGGAATGAGCGAAACGGTATCTCGGCCGTCAGCGAGCAGGTGTGCATGAGTGGACATTGCGTGGCCGCGCTGTCATGTGAAATGGCCATTCCATGTTCTGTCCTCACATGACCCCGCCTCCTCTTCTCCTCGGACGGCCAGCTCACTGACCCCACTGTCACAGCCCATCTCATCAATCACCCAGCCAACCCTGATTAAGATGACAACATCCATCACCGTGGAAACCCTGATTAAGATGACAACAGGGCTCTGGCTCCATCCATCAGCCGTCAAACACCCTCCGTTCGAACCGTCCAATCAGAGCCTGGAGACTTTCACTAATATGAGGATTTCTTTATAAATTACTGGCTTGATGACAAGTCTGATCATTTGTCAAACTGCACAGATGGGATCAAGGACACTGCGATAAATTAAGTGCAGAGTAAGGAGGTTTTGTTTTTGTCGTTCCATGAAACTTCCACACATGCTATTTCCCCTCCATGTTTGGCAATTCCAAAGCGCATAAGAAATTAGAAGAAATGTTACAGGGAGTTCTAATTGGATCGCAGAACAGCAGGGAAAAACATGCTAAATGCTAATAATAAGAAGCAATTAACCATGTAGTAGATAAGAGCAAAATTAATAGCCATAACAACTGTTAAAGGGGAGGAGAAAACTTTCTCTTTGTTTTTAACATCATTTTGCATCTCTTTTGTTGTTAACATCAAAGGCTATGCATCCAAGAAACTTTTACTGTATTTTGGCACAATTTTTTCTCATTTAATAAACCAGATGACAACATTTTCAGGTTACATGACGGAAGAAGAAGAAGAAAAAGAAGAAACAAAAAAGATTTGTTATGTGTGGTGAATTATCATCTGCCAAAGGCATGAAACCAACAAAATTCAAGAGACATTTAAAAAAGAAAATGTCCAGTTCAAATTTTCTGATGCTGTTAATAATAAATAATTTAAATGATATTCATCCATTATTTATTTTATATAAATTATATTATAAATTATATTATTTTGATTTAATTATTGTATTGTGAATATTGTTGATCATATAGTTCATGATCATATTAATAAATATTAATATAATTATAAAGTATATTGTATTTATTTATTTATTTGTGACCCTGGACCACAAAACCATAACAAAATCATAATTAGCACGGGTATATTTGTAGCAATAGCCAACAATACATTGTATGGGTCAAAATTATCGATTTTTCTTTCATGCCAAAAATCATTAGGATATTCAGTAAAGATCATGTTATATGTAACGTTATAATTTTAATAGAAATTTCCTACCGTAAGTATATCAAAACGTAATTTTTGATTAGTAATATGCATTGCTAAGAACTTAATTTAGACAACTTTAAAGGCGATTTTCTCAATATTTTGATTTTTTTGCACCCTCAGATTCCAGATTTTCAAACAGTTGTATGTCGGCCAAATATTGTCCTAACAAACCATACATCAATGGAAGACTTATTTATTTTTTATTCAATTTCAAAAAATGTATTATTTAAAAAAATAATAATAAATTATTTGTTTGTTTGTTTGTTTATATATTCATGCATTCAATGGTGAAACGCCACTTTATGTCCAGTACAAAATCTTGAAGCAAAACCAGCTTTGTAGATCCACTGTATAGATTCCTAAACACAGAGCACAAGAAACAGTTTCTAGCCACAGAACATCATGAAACAGCCAAATTAAAAGATTCCTTGAAAGTTTACATTCACATCAAAGAATAGCAGAAGGACGGTCTTTTGTGCAGCAATTCTACTAACAACCTACTCAGACAAAGCTCTCTGGATTACAGGTCTGATAGTCAATAATTGATGAGACTGATGGAAGTGTCCAGCTACAATGGCCCTAGGGTTTCCCTGAGCAGTGCAGACTGTATGGTGTGAAGATAACACTGAGGTTAAGCACCAACACTCCACAGACCTCGTCATTTAGCCAATGCTTTGATCTAAAGTGACCAGCTTTACAGGGACAGTCCCACTGCAGCAACCTAAGTGCTGTGTTCAACGGCACAATGCTGACGGCTCAACCTGCAGCATTCTGGTTATCAGACCAGATCTTTACCACTGCGCTATCTAGCCCATCAGACACTGCTGAAGCCATTAGGATCCACTGTCTTTCCAGCACTGAGTCTTCTGAGAAATCTATCTTCACATGCTCAGCTGGGATGAACAGATCATGGTTATCATCAGGGTAATGGATGCTGGTGTTGGTGAGAGGTCATAGTGGTTGGAAAAAGAAAGATGGAGTGAGCAGGTGTGGAGGGGAGAAGCAAGAGAAGAGAGACCAATCTGTCAAAGAACAGATTCAGATCATATGTCATTTACCACAAGTATGTGTCTCAGATTTTAAAACACAAACTACTAGAAGATGAAACATCTGCACATCTTTTAAACGTATAAGCACATGGATCTCTTTAATGGTGGTTTGCTTCACAGCTCAGATTTTACACTGGACATCAATTTGCAAATTATCTACTGTATAAAAGTTACAAAAATGCTCAAAGATTTAAATGGATTAATAGATTAAAGCATTAATATTTACCAAGACCTGCAAAACAAAACAAACAAAATAAAACAAAACATTCTATGGAATGACTAGAACAATAGTAGCACTACATAACTAAATATACTGAATAATATAATAAATTATGATTAAATTCAAACTGCTTTATTATTAGCCTTAATATTACTATGACCTGCATGGCCCATAAAATAAAATAAAATAAAATAAAATAAAAAAATAAAATAATTAAAAATAAAATAAAATATTATGTACCACATACTGTACATGCTGGGACATAATATAAAAACATACAACATAACAGCATAATTATTTATTTGGTTTAAATGTGTTAATATGTTCCACATACATTCTGGGAATAAAATAAAATAAATAAATAAACAAAATAATTACTTAAAACAAGCTACAATGCTGGGGGAAAAAGTAATTAAATAAATTGCATATATTAAATAAAATAAAATTAAATTAAATTAAATTAAATTAAATTAAATTAAATTAAATAAAATAAAAGTACTGCATAAATGTTAAATAATAATTAAATATAGCCTATAACAAACGTTAGGTTAAACGTTAAGCATTGTATCAGTATGGGGTGGTATTAGGTGATACATTTAAGTGACACATTTGCCTTTGAAGTGCACAACAACAGATTTGGTAAGCTTTTCCTAGCTTTTAAAATTTGATAGACCCATTTATTTTTGCTAAATTAAATTACAACATTTTTTAGATCAGACCTGCGACCCATTTTTGGGTCATAACCCACTGATTTACAACATGATCCCGCATGATCCTGTAAACATTGCTTTTCAAGCTGATTTTGATAGTTAATGCTATTTCGCTCCATTCATTTCCCCTTTTTATTGTTTCGTTATATCACCCTTGTTCAACTTTACAAAGCACAAATAAACAAAGCGTTTTATGCCTCCAGATAAGCAGTCTAAGCTCTGAACATGAATTAGACACAGAGGCTAAGGTCACTTTATCACCCCAGAATCCAATGTTTCATTTCCCTAAAGACTCTGGAACTGGTGCACACACACACAGGGCCTTTGGGGGTGTGCAAGGAAATATTTTTAATTGAACTATAAATTAACAGGTTTGACATGAGCTACTGTGTCACACATGAAAATGTTTTCTTGACAAATAAAATCAAGCATTATGTGAGTGTGATGTAAGTGTTTTTAAGGCTACAATGTAACAGAAATATATCACACTTGTCTCTGAGACAGCCATAGGCCCTCTAAACAACATAAAAGAGTCAGGTGCCCAAGGTTTTTTTAGCCAATCGAAAACACTCTTTGGTTCTTAATCATTGTGTGACTTTGTGATTGGGGCGGGATTTTGGATTGAAGGCATGAGATTGGCTCGGCCTGGCAGAATTTAGCAAAACATGAAATCCCAGCCTTCAAGACCTTGCCTCAGTGTCAGCTACTGATAATTTTATTACCAACACTTCTGTCACAAATACCTGTGCCTAGTTTCATAATTTGCACAAGAGTTAATTAGTAGCCTGTATCATTCAAATTAGCAAAAATACACAATTAATTACAGGTGGACGCCCTGAGAAGATATAATGATAATTAGACATGATTTAAAAGTGAAACTATCAATGAATCCCAATTTTTATGAAGCTTGCACTACCACGCAGATCTGAAATGACTAAATATTCTCTGAAACAGAATGTTTGTTGAGTCCCTCAGTTGTCCTCACTGTGAAAAGATGGATCTCAAAATCCTACAGACATTGTTGGAGAGGGTTCAAATACACAAAAATGCTGGAAAACCAAAGAATCTGTGGGACTTGAAGGATTTTTCTGAAGAACAGCAGGTAGTTTAACTGTTCAGGACAAACAAGGGACTCATGAACATTTAGATCATTTAGATAACAACACAGTATTAACAATCAAGGGGATGTAAACTTTTGAACTGGGTCATTTTTATAGATTCAACTATTATTTTCTCTTGTGGACTATATGTAAACATCTTTTATGTGAAATATCTTGTTCAGGTCAGTACCAAATAAACAATAACATGCATTTTGTATGATCCCTCTTACTTTGGTAAAATAATTAACATTTTGCGGATTCTGAAAGGGGGATGTAAACTTTTGACCTCAACTATATATATATATATATATATTTATCATCTGATAGTTACATATTTAAAAATATATTGCCCATTGAAAGAGACAATGAAACTATAATTTATCTTACCAAAAACCAGCTATCTAGATTTTCCAATCAGCAGGGAAGAACAGGAGACAAACAGGACAGTATGTGCCAGTGGAAATGAAAATCAGACATGTGGAGAGCAGAGGAAAGAGGTCAAATGAAAAAAAAATTGAACTACATGTATTCATTGTTTGAATGTAATTACTCTCAGCTCTATCTTCCTTCAAAACGTATTACCTTTGTTTAGGAAAAAAAAAGAAAGAGAACAAAGAAAGGAAGATGATGGCTTTTGAACAGATGTGGAAAAGAGGTCTTAACTCAAGTCTTCTTGATAATGTTAGTCAAGGTTTCTTTCTCTGAAAACATCGTAATTTAGTTTTAAATTGTCCATTTTGCAGCCTCTCTTTGTGCAGGTTGTCACCCCAGTCAAAGCTGCCCAAATATACTATTTTATTTGATGAAACAAGCAGCGAAAGAGAAATATTGTGAAATATTACTACAATTTAAAAAAACTGTTTTCTATTTTAATATATTGTAAACTATAATTTATTCCTGTGATGACAAAGCTGTGTTTTCAGCAGCCATTCCAGTCTTCAGTGTCACATGATCATTCAGAAATCATTCTAATATGCGGATTTGCTGCTCAAGTGTGATACGTTAAGACCAGTATGATTTCAGAATGTCTTATTTCTTAGCTTGGCTGTATGAAAACAAAAAGCATCACAAGTTCTGCTGTCCATGATATGACTCGTTTAAATAAATTAGACCCTGCATGGAAAGCAATAATGTAGGCTGGACTGTACAGTACCAGTACAGTGGTAAAGATCTGAATAGAGCTGTGGAATTGCAAAGAATTCGAATAAATGTATAACTATGCTATATGACTGTGGAAATTCATTTTACTACAGTGGCATTTCATATTCATACAGATTTAAATAATACATTTATGCTGTAGAGTTCAACTGTGGGTAAGTGTGTGTGCGTGTGTATGTTCTTGCCTCTATCCAGTCCAGTAATCTGATTCTTCAGTGTTTCTCTCTGATTCTCCACCTCCACTTTCTGTTCCTCCATCTGTCTGAGTCTCCTCTGCACCCCTTCTCTCATTTTGGTAAGTTTAGTGATCTCCTGTTTCAGCTGGGTTACTTCCTCTTCTTTCATCTGAACCACACAGGACATGAGCCATTAGTGTGTACATGTGAAGCCCAAACTAGTCATCACTAGTTAAAAGCAACCAAACCAGGTTCATGCAGAAAATCTGTAAAAACGCAAATATATACACTGCCATTCAAAAGTTTGGGGTCCGTAAAATGTTTAATGTTTTTGAAAAAAAGGTCTCTCATGCCCGCCAAGGCTGCATTTATTTTATAAAAAATACAGTAAAAACAGTAATATTTAAAATAACTTTTTCTATTTATTATATGTAATTTATAACATTTTCGAATTTAAAATGTCATTTATTCCTGTGACACAAAGCTGAATTTTCAGCAGCCATTACTCCTGTCTTTAGTGTCACAGAAAACTCTTTACTGACACCTTTGTTTTGAACAATTTAATGAATCCAGGTTGGAAAAAAAAAAATGAATTTATAAAAAAAAATAAAAAAATACTGACCTTAAACTTTGAATGGTAGTGTACATTAAATACGTAATTTTTACATGCTATTTTACACTTATGCTTCTTGTGGGCTTGGAGTGTGCATTGTGGATTGTGTTTATATCATCACTGTGAATTGAATAACTGACTGATTGACTAATATAAATGCCAATAGATACACAAGATGATAATTGCCAGAGTATAAGCTGAACACATGTACATGTATTAGGAGCAAGAATGCTCTAGGATGCTAAAACTGTGCCCCCTTGTGGCCAGCATGAGGTTTGCGATCATTCCTCATTCACACTGACTCACAGGGCGAGCTGGGAGTGCCAACACTACAAACAGGGTGCAGTAAATTAGAAATGGGAATCTAGTTTGCACAGTGTTGCGCAGGTTGACTTTGCCTCTCTCTCAAGAGTGCTGCAGATAATGAAGATAGAAAGAAAGCCTCACGTGTTCAGTCAGTCTGTGTGAAACAGAATTAGTCTTTTTGTTCCCTTATTGGTCAATAATACTACACTACAAAAGATGTGCCCATATTAAACTGAATGCCTAACAATACAGCTTCAGCATATCCTGCAGAGAGGTGCATTCATCCCAATTGATCTCCCATCAGACTCAAGCCACTAGAATACAAGCCAGAACAAAGAGAATACAGGGCATTTCATTAAATGTAACATTTGCTGTATTAACTCCAACGGTGACTCAGTTGGAAGCCTGACGGAAGTTTCGAGCAGGAAAGATCCATCACTAGTCTGACGGGAGAGGAAGAGGAACGGAAACCTTCGTCCTCTAGAGCTCTAATTATATAAGAGCGAGACGATTTTGTCAGATTTAAAGAGGGCAGCTCCATAAATCTGTAGGTTTGTGTGTGTGCACCTACAGTTGGATGTCGAGAATTGATTGCCTGTGAAGTACTGTGGGGTAGAGGTTTGTACATTCCTCTCTAGGAATGAGGTGAAGTACTAGTTTTTTTTTTTTTTTGCTTACACACAAAATCTTTACTTGCCACACAATTTCTGAAACCTGACATTCAAACACCGGAAACACACACCAAATCTGCAGAACCATACACTAATTCTCAGCTTTTGACTCAGTTTTCAATTTCATAGAACAATTTTGCAAAGCACAACACACAACATTCTCTATGTAGCACACAAAAATCTAACAGGAAAACACCGGAAACACACACCAAATCTGCAGAACCATACACTAATTCTCAGCTTTTGACTCAGTTTTCAATTTCATAGAACACTTTTTGCAAAGCACAACACACAATTCTCTATGTAGCACACAAAAATCTAACAGGAATTCATATCATGGCAAAGGTGTTTGCAAATGTTTGCTTTTGAGCTGTGTTTGTGATATTTTGAATGCAGTGCTTCATTTTGCAGGAGATGTGAGGCATTTTGCATTTTGTGTGTGCAATTCTTGGATTTGTGTGTAAAGTTTTGAAAATGTAAGTAGTTGAAAAAAACTGTATAAGGATACTGTAGTAATAAAATTGTCCCCAGACTTTAGAAATTCTGGCCTCAAATGTAAAATGCAAAACATATACACAAGTGTTCTATGTGTGTGTGTGTGTGTACCTTCAGGTCCAATGCTCGCTGCTGGTTCTGTTGGGAGAGTTGCTCTAGGCTGATGCCGTTTTGTTCATTATCCTGCAGGATTTTATTGTTTCGATGTTGGAGTTGTTCCATTTCTTTACTGGTTTTCTCATTTATAATCTGTCAGAAAGAATACAAATTACTTTCACAAGTTCTGCATGTGTGTGTACATTTTTTCCCAACCTAGCTATTCTGTATGACAAAATAGTTGAAAAATGTCTTTAGATATTAGCTAAATTTGACAAACCCTCCCTCTAGAGAGATTCTCAATACAGAAACTTACAACTTTTGTAACTTTTACATAAAGTTAGTGTTTAATCCAGAAAGTTTTCTGTTAGGGTTATGGCAGTTCAAATGAACTAAGATGCCCTACCATTCACTTTCATGATACTTTATATCACTTCTTCACCCACTGACCCTAGATCAGAGTTTCTTACTTTGTGTTCCTGGAGCTGTTGTTCCAGTTTCTGCTGATCATCCTGCAGACGCTGACTCTGCTGAGTCAGTGATTTAATCTCAGATTGTTTGGACTCCAGGTCAGTTTGAAGCTGCTTCACTTCTTTTTCCAACTTCTCCTTCCTCCTGGTTTCCCGATGAATCTCATTCTGACGCACCTGGATGTCCTGCTGGAGCTGTGAGAGAGACAGTTTTGTTCCAAATGGCATAAATTATACCTACAATGGGCACTATCTATCTATCTATCTATCTATCTATCTCTATCTATCTGTCTATCTATCTGTCTATCTATCTGTCTGTCTAACTAGCAGCAGCCAGTGTGTGCAAATGACCATTACTTTCAACCCTTCCACTGCTTTAACTTTTGGAGGCACTTCTAAATGGAATTAATTCAGAGTTTAAAGTGGTTTGTCAGACCTCTTATTGATTTTCTTACTGTGCTATGCACAGTAACCACTTTAAGCTAGTTTATTTTGCCAGGGAGGTGACAGAGGAATCAAATCTGTCCAAATTTACAAGTTTAAGTGCCACATTCACAGGGTTAATGTTCCATTTCTCACAACATACAAAGATACAAGCACTGCTAGAAATTCCTATGTGTTTGAAGAGTAAAAATCACCACATACCATATTTCAAATATTGATTTGCTGACACAGATGGAAATTTGAGACAAAAATGCTTTCATTTATCCTGAAACGTTTTCAAAACTGGAGTTAAGCACTGCTGATATTGATGCCTGATATAAAATGAGCCAATTATATTTTTGAATTCATGTTTTTGCATGTTCTTGTACTTGCGTATGTACTCTGCACACTCACATAAAGTTATCACAAGACCCACACTCTTAAAAATAAAAAAGGTGCTTCAAAA